TTCATCTCTTATGCATCCTATTATTAATGTATCTAATATTTGTTCTCTTATTTCTCTAGGCAATTTTTTAACTATCATTAATGTTAATATTTTTAGTTTCCTTGGAACGGGATCTAAAAATATGTAACTTCCATGTTTTTCTTTTAATATATAATATCAATCAGTTTTAATAATTGTAATTTCCATGATCTAACATGGCTCTGATACCATTTAGCACCAGAGTGCGCAGGTCTCAGCGGAATAAATTTTTAACTTATAATTCGTTGGGGTTTAATTTGAAATTTTCTGCTCTTATAATGGCTTTGTTTGCAAATTATACATATATGAGGCTATTTTTGGAAACTATATTTTCTGTAAAGTTTCTATAAGTGAATAGTTCTGTACAAACAGAATTATTCTAAAAGAAAAATAAGCAAACAAGGGCTTATTAGTGCAGGCCCATTTTATCTCACCCACCTGTCAACTCATGAATTCCTCATAAAGGGTCCAAAGACTAAGTGTACGTGACCCAAATTGAAATATGGTTCAAAAGAAAAGGTGGAAGATACATAAAAGCAAAAATTTCAAGTTAACATTTTAAAAGTCACATTTAAAGTTTATTTTTACAAAAATCATAACATAATTAAACATTTAAATATTAATAATAATATTTTAAAACTAAATTAATCTATATACCCACCCCTATCCACCCAAACCTTATTTTTATCCTCGCTCCCTCCTCTCTCTACATTTCTCTCCCCTCTCCTTCCTCTCTCTATTACGTCGGCACGACTGCCACATGAGAGGAGAAGCCGCCGCTTCGTACAGCTGCATTGCGACGCCTCTGCTCATGGATGCACAATCCCATGGTTTTTGTGGTGTTGTATATCTTCGCGCAGCGAATCTCTTCACAGGCGTTCAATCCAGTGGTTTTTCCGAGTCACAGATCTCGGCGTTCAATCGGGTGGTTTCTCCAACAATTTTTGTAATGATTTTGCTTGTATACACAGATCGGTGGTTTTGTAGTGGTTTTGCTACATGTTTTCTGGTGGTTTTTGAGGTGGTGGCTCGACGGTGTTAGTGTGTGGTGGTAGTGGTAGCGGGTTTTGTGGATTTTTGGTGGGGATTGTGGTTGTGGTGTCGTGAGATGGAGATAGAGAAGATGGCAGCAGTGGTAGTGGTGTGCTATGTGCGCAGTGGTTGGGTGCGATGGTGGTGACTGATAATGTGAAATCTGATTTTTTGGTGGTTGTTGGGTGGTGGTAACTGATAACCTTGGCTGTGGAGCTAGTGAGTTGGTGGTGGTGGTCAGAGGTGATGGTGAGATGATGGTGGCGATGGGTCAGTCGAGGTGGTGGTGGATCGGCGTGACGATGTGTATGTATTTTTCTATGATGTGTTGATTTGTTTGAAATGGTGTTTGCTGGCGAGAGGTGATGGTAGTTCTGGAGGCTACGGTGGCGATGGTGCTGCTGGAGGAAGTGGTGAGGTGGTGGTCACGACTATTAAATTGGTTAATCTGTGATCAATAAACAATATGTGACCAATGAAAAATATAAATTGTAACCTGGAAATAATGTGTGACCTAAAAATTTGTTAATTTGTGACCGATAATTTGACAATTTGTGACTGTCTACTAAGTTGTGACTTATAATATTTGTGATTTGTGACCGATGAATAAGTTGTGACATATAAATTTTTTTTATTTATAACCGATAAACGAATTATGACTTATAAAATTTCTGAATTGTGACTGTAAAATAATTTGTGATATATAAAATTTATGATTTGTGACCGTAAAATAATTTGTGACTTATAAAATTTCTGATTTGTGACCGATGAACAAATTGTGACATATAAAATTTTATATAAAATTTTTGAATTGGACAGTAAAATAATTTGTGACGTTTCAATTTTTTATTTGACCGATAAACAAATTGTGACCTATAAAATTTTTGAATTGTGACCGTAAAATAATTTGCGACATGAAAAATTGTGATTTGTGACCGATTAATAATAGAATAAATCTAAATGTACAATATTGGTTGACAACAATGGTTGACAACCATGTGTTGTCAAAATCCTAATATGTGATGTAAAAAAAATCTTTTAAAATGGATAGATATGATGATGTCAAATATGAAGTTGTCAACTAATGTTGTCAACCAATGTTATATATGTAGCACGATTTTTAATAATATGTGACCAATTATATAAAATTTGTGACCAAATTATAAGAAATTGATACCTTGATATATTTAATTAATAAAATATATGTTGAATTAATTAATTTGTAAATAAAATTTGAAAAACTCTGGAATTTAAAATTCTAAACATAATATTTTAAATATAAAATTAGTAAAACTAAACTTCTT